ATACCGGCGAGTTCCGCACCTAAATTCGAAGAGTTAATTCCCTGAGGGTCCACAAGGAGTCAATAGAGAAAAAGGTACTGTTGTTGACGTACAGCGCGAGTCACGGCAGTTGCCGAGTTGTCCAGCGTATCCTCTATCGGGACCAACAACCGGCTGATGGGTTCAGCCGCACTGCAGACGTACTCGTCCAATGCATCAAAAGAGCCTGACCAAGAGGGGTGCGCCACAACATATCATGCACAGGCAACCCACTGTCCTGGGTATCGGGCCTCTCGGGAAGGAGTACCCATTCTCCCCCCAAGTCGACAGTACGACGCCTCAAGGCATCCTCGGCTTTCCTCTCAGCCTCACGGCAAAAGGCCTTGACAAGGCGCAAGAGGTGTTCCCGGGCCTCAGGACCTCCGCCATGCTGGCGCTGCTCGATGACACGCAGAAGCCTTCTTAGTCGGCAGACGTCGACGTCAACAGGCGCATCTTCAGAGGCCGAGCCGAAGATCTCATCGAGTGTACCGAGGACCCGACACAACTTCTGTCCCCTCCTGGCCAGACCCATGACCCCGTCAAATGACTCTCGGTCGAAGGGCAGCAACTCCTCGGCTAGAATGGCATCGAGCTCCTCCCGGACTTGCATTGGCAGCTTGAGAGCCTTGAGCCCAGTGATGATGTTCCCTGCCCTTGGTGCCCAACAGAGATAACACCGGGCTGTACCACATCGACAGACCAGGCGTCTATCGTCAATACTACGGCAAGGGAAGAGTTTAGAGGCGGCCCCTTGTACGGCAAACTTTGCACACTTCACCATTTCAGCTCTCCTATCGCGACTCAATGGATTTACAGGGAACCCCCGAATGATCCCTGACCGGGACTGTGCATGGCCATGTATAGCATCCCAGGAGACAGGAGGTAAGGTCGGCTCTTCTGAGATGGATAACCACTCATGCCCTGGAGGGCTCGGGGGTGCCGAAGTGGCTGCTTCCGAGCGTAGAGGCTTGCTACAGGGTTGCAATATCGCAGGCTCTTCAAAGAACGGAATCATCCATAATAAGAGAGCCAACTTTATAGCAAAAAATTGATAACCTGTTGCGAAGTCACTAAACTCCCAGTGAGCTCAATATTAGCAATCACAAGTGGCTGTCATCCACGAATATACGGAATGACCAACCCAAATGCCCTGGGGTATGAGCTATTGTGAAGATGCTCGTGATCAGCTCTTCTCACACCTGATCTCCGATATTGACAACGACACAGACAGTCTTTGACAGAAACATGATTGATCAATTCGTGCGTATACGACGCCAATTCATCTCTCGTGTGAAGTTCTTCTGTAAATCGATCGCCATCTCTCTCGCTCGTTCTCGACCCTTTCGTGGGGTGCCACGCTCGTCCTTGCTACGACCAACAGGGACGAACCTGTCACCTTCAGTTCAGCACCACAAGACAACATGGTTACTCTTACACTAGGGGTGGGCACAGGCCAATAGTGAGCTTGTCGGCTATCCTCTGCTGTATAATGGGAGCTATATTCTCCAAGCGTCGCTGGATGGCCTCGATTTCTCCTTCTTCCCAAAGAGGCACCGAGTAGTACACCGTATGGGGCCTATGGGAAACAAGAGGCCGTAGTTGTTAGTAAGGGGCGTAAACAGATAAGCAACTTGTACAAAAAAGGATCCACCTCCCGCGATTTCGTGGCGCGTGAAAATATTGGACCGTATGAAGATACTGCAGGGTTGAAACCTTCCCGCACTTGTCGCTATATACGGTGTTCTTTTATATCATCATAACTCGTTGAGTATGGGAGTGAACTACCATCAGCAGAGGCCTATCCAGCTTTGAGAAATAATGTTTTCCAGGGTTTGAAAACAATGGGGGGAAAATGATCCTAATGTGATGATGACATTTACATGGGAAACTGATTGACGAATGTGGAAAATAAAAAACGAATCCCTCCGGGGAACATTAAAAGTTCCTGACCACTAGGAGCTCACCGAATGCTCCATAATGGTGGCTTAGTTGGTTCGATATTCACATGTGCTGATGAATCATTGAACTTCATTTTTATCACTCTCAGTCGGCATTGCTCACTATGAATTATGATTCTAATACTTCGCGTGGGATAGCATCCGAAAATCATGGCTTTCTTACGAACGTGTGCTCTCCGAATCTACTCCTTCTATTTGAACATCGATACCGTCCAGGAGCAGCCCTCGCTCCTCCTTCGAGGCACACAGAAGTAGCTGTGCGACATACCGCTGAAGTGGACTCAATCACCGTTGGTCGCAGCTTGGGGGCACTCACCTGTATCAAAGCCTGGGTCCTCACCCGCCGCCGTGCCCTCTGTCGCAGCACAGGGTTCATCACCTCACTCGGGACTGTGGTCATCTCCATCAGAGTGCCCTAAAGCGATCCTCCTCAGAGCCCACCAACGCTATACTCACCGGGGGCCTCGGTGCTAGGGTCGTTGTTGTTGCCAACCCAGTGCTGACCATAGCCTCTGATCCCTCCTCTCTGAGCATACATCAATAGAGCAGGAGCCCTGCCCTCCCACACAGCCCACCCTCCACCATCATGTAATCCTCTCCCCATGCCGTCCCCCTCAGGCACTCGAGCACCGGATGACACCCTGAGCTCATGTACGATAACATTACTGCAAGATGATGCCCGACCCCACTTAGCATTGGTAACAGCACTCCATCTACTGACCATCCGCGATGGAGTAACGCCCCGTAGTGCCGGCTCGCCGTCCTTCCTGCACAGACAGGATCCTCAATACCTGTCCATAGCCCCCCTCTCACTCAACAACTGCTGTCAACTCAGAGAGTTCTTCCTCCATCTCCTCCAAGGCGTGCTCCAGCCCTTGGGCCGCTAGCTGATCACCAGGCTAGCTATCCCACCACTGACCCTCCGGGCCTACCGTCGACCCAGGCAGCATGTCAGCGATATAATTAGCCTTGATGTCCTCCCAAGGCTTCCTCTTTATTCGACCCTCCAGAGCCGAGGCCAACCCCCGACATGTACGAAGACCACGTACCATAACTCCAGGAAAAGCCACGTCTCCTACTGTAAACACTACACAGAGCTGGATGGGAAACCATGTAGTAATGTGACATGCAAAAAGATACGACAATGGTCACTAGTACAGTTACAGAATCCCTTATCATCATCATCATCAACCGCCGGTCGAACTCCGGCCAGCCAAGAGGAGCTCATAGCGGCCTTTCAAATCATCCAACGCCTCCTCTTTGGCCTTCTTCTCCTCCTCACTCCTGACCATCCAACCACTCCATTTAGATTCCACTCTAGTGATGTGATAAACACTAGTGTAAAACTATTTCCCGGCTACTACATATTACCGCGAATATCAGCTTTTTCACCGAGTATCACACCACATCACGTAAAACGAGTGAAACTTCATTGTACCCACTCCCCCGCCCAACTACTACCTATCTAGCTTGTTAGTGAGATCTACCAGCAGCTCCATATAGGCGTCCAGCTGTTCCTGGATGCCCACTGTAGTACTGTCGTCCAGAGATTCCTCATTATTAGGGCTTCTTACCTCCTCCCTAGCCTTGTCACGCTACCAGGGACAACGTCACAAAAACCAATAGAGTATCCTTCTCACACTCACCTTATTAGCTAGCATGATCTGCAGCTCCTCGACCCTCCGTTCGGCTCTCTCAGCCCTATGAACCCCCTCCAGAGCCTTCTCCAAGCTGGCGGCCAACTCCACATTGTCATCAAATAACGCCTCGCATCGTCCCTCCAGCTCCTTACGCCGCTCCTCTAGCCCAGCCACGCCCGAGCACCTCTCCTCCAGGCCTTGGCACTTAGCCGTCAGAGCCCCAACCTGGGCAGCAGCCTGCGTCTCAGCTTCCCTATGAGCCTCGATGCCCAACCTCAGTTGAGACACCTCGAGGTCACGATCTCGGAGGGAGGCGGTGACACTGTCGATCCTTCCCTGCAGGCCTACTACCAGATCAGCTAGTTCCTTGTTGTCCCATACGAGCCTATTCGAAAGCAACAGGCCGAGCCCATACCGCAACCTAGAGATGACCAGGCCCCTCAGACATCGAATGGCCATCACCCAGTTGGCCCTAGACTGAGCCTGACTGTCCGTCTGTACAGCAAAGGACCTACTAGCCATACCAACCGTTTGAGTAGTCATATTGGTGCTTCTCCCAGGGCTAGTCTGGACAGCTGTCCCTCCGGTCACCACAACCCCACGAGCACCTTCATCATGAGGATGGCCCCGGTACCGCGCTGGTAAGAGCTGCCCCGTGGTGGTCTTCGGTACTCCCTCGCTGACAGATGTCTCTATCGATGAGCTCGGCCCCTCTGGCCAGACATGCGGAACTGGGGCTATCCGATGGACCTCAGAGCTAGCCATGATCGAGCTTCTGATGGTAGGTCGTGCCGCATCGTCCCACTCGATAGACCCAATACTCACAGTCTCCATAACCTTGCCAACCTCCACCGCCGTAGGGGCCATCGACTCGACTAGCCCCGTCTGCACCTCTTGCTCGACCACGTCCACTGTATGTGCATGCAGTGGGCTTGTAGTAGCGTCAAGCCTGATGAGATCATCCGTCTGAGCTCCCACTGTTACTCCTTCAACCATCACCATTGCCTGGCACTCTGCATCGTGAGTGGTAGTGATGGGTCCATCTTCGCTTCTTTGGCCCTCCTCACTCGTCTGAACGCCTGTGCTGACCGTGTGTGAAGATCCTCCAGCGCCCACAAGCTCAGTACTATCCGACGGCTCTGCTTGGATACCAACGTCAAACTGGACTTCACCACCATCATCAACTCGACCGACCACTTCAGTTTGGGACCCGGACGTTACCCCAGCGGGCATCGTTGTCTGCGTTGATGTTTCCGACACCTCCAGCTGGACCTGAGCCCCTCCCTCCACAGTCTCCACCCTGCAGGTCTGACTGTCGACCTCCAGGGACTCGATCCGATCTGTGATGACGCCTGCCGACACCAAGCGTCGCACTGGGGTCTGCGTCCCGGCCACTCGAGACTGCAGTCTAGTCTGCGTCATCCGACTAGGCCGTAGCTGTGGGTTGGTCTGGACCTCCCTCCCAAGAGTGACCACTCTACGGGTTTGGCAACCTACTTGGGCTTGGAACAGCGACTGAGTCTGCATGGAGGTTGCCGATACGCTCACAGTCCGAGTCTGGGTGCCAACCTCTCCCTTAACGACCGTGTCCATCTGCACTGCTGAGTGGACCCTTCTGATCATCCCGAGCCACTTCCGCATCACTCCGCCGATACTATGATAGTACAACCGCAAGGCTACTCCCCATACTACTCGGGCGACCTGTTTTTCCCTTCTGCCCATTAGGATCAGGCGATACCATCTTTCCCACACAACGCGGACCAACCCCAGCCTTCGAAGCTTCCCCCTAGTAACGACGAAATACCATCGATCCAGAGCCAGGGCCAACGTCTGCTGACGACACTGTCGAGCTAGATCGGCCATGGCCCGCATGACCACCCTCTGACGCTGGGCTGCCAGGCCCTCGACCTTTCGGAGGAAGGTAGCCTCCCGATGGGCTAAGGCGATACGGCAAGACCTGTGAGTGCACGACAGACCTTCCATGTCCAGGGCATCGTGAGTAGGAGGCGGCCTCTTCAAAGAAGACATAACAAAATCATGAAGACAAT